AACTTCTCCCGGGCAATAAGAGTTGTCCTCACCCGGGGGTACTTCTGGAGTTATTCTGGGAGCTGGGCTTCTCTGTTGTGAGGCCAGAGACTGGAGAGTCTAACATGACAGTTCCAAAGATAGCTGGGTGGGGAGGGCAGCGGTGGCATTTGAGGCTGGGCTTGGGGAATAGCTGTGCCCTGTGGTTGACCAAGCACTGGGGAGTGAGCTTGCCCGTCAAGCCACGTGTGCCAGAAGTCACGTCTGTGTGTCCCCTGCACAGGCGCAGCCAGACCACGGCTTTGTGTAATTTTGGAGGCCTTGCTGTGAAGACTCATCCCAAGGCAAAGACACCATGGGTTGGAAGCCTGGAGGTTTATGGTATTTTAAAAATAGTAATAGGAGGAGTATTAGTAACAATAGTAGTAATAGTAACAGTTACTACGAGTCATGGTAATAAGAAGCCCAGTGTTAATAGTAATAATGATCATAGTAGAGAGAACGAAGGAGAGGGGTAGCAAGCTGAGAGCATGGGCTGGAATCCTGCCTCGGCCACTTTCTGGCTGTGTGATCTTGGATACATCTCTTTACCTTTTAGTTCTTCATCTGGAAAATGGGATAATCCTAGAATTTTAGGATTTCTGCGTAGAGTAAATGAACTAGTCTGTATATGAAACACCCAGCAGCTGTGCGTGGTACAGAGCCAGGGCTGAAGAGTCACACGGGATCCTAACAGTCACCGTAGCAATAATGAACATTTTTATGTGCCACGTGCTTTACATGCTGCATTGAATTGTCATTTAATGGTCACATCAACCCAACCAGATAGGTACTGTTATCCCCATTTTGCAGATGAGTAAACAGAGACTTGTGATGTTTGAAGTCTCTTGTTCAGGGTCACAGGGTGGGAGCCAGCATTTGAACCCACCCTGTCTGACTCCAGCCCTCAGAGCTCACTCTGCTCTGCCCTGTGGGTACCTGCCTGTGCAGAGATGGTCTCTGCGGAGGTGGCGGTTTGAGGGGTTGACTGATGTCATCTCGAGGAGAGGAGAAAGCAAACGGACAGGTCACAAAGAGCCACCTGTGAGAACTGTGCTCCACATCCGTCTTCTGGCTGGGGCTGGAGCTCACTGCAAGGTCCCCCTAACTCTCCCAAGATCAGTGGGAAGTCTTCTGTCCCATCACAAGGATGGACACAGAGTCTGCCCTCTTGTCTCAAGTTCAAGGGGCCGTCATCATCAACAGGCAGCCCTCATTTGCTTTTTAAGAAGATGCCAAGATCGAGACAGTTCATTGACAGGACCATGCTTAATGGGAAATTGTAGAAGTGTGCATTTGGATGTGGTCCCACGTGGCCAGAATCCAGGAATAGCATCTAGGAAAGGTTAAATTAAAGATGTGGTCATAGCTCTGGTGGGGTGCTTTGAAGGGGGTGGGAGGTGGGCAGGGGACCTCACCTAGAGCTCTTCTTCACCGTGTCATCTGAGGCAAGTTGTTTCACCTCTCTGAGCCTGTTTCTCCATCCATCCATCTACTCACCCACCCACTCATCTACTCACACACCCCTCCCTCCCTCCATCCATCCATCCACCCACCCACCCAACCACCCACTCATATACTTACACATCCATCCGTCTACCCCTCCACCTCTCTATCCATCCATCCATCCATCCACCCATCCATCCACCCATCCATCCATCCATCCACCCATCCATTCATCCATCCATCCACCCACCCAACCACCCACTCTTCCACTTACACATCCATCCGTCTACCCCTCCACCTCTCTATCCATCCATCCATCCATCCATCCACCCATCCATCCATCCACCCACCCACTCACACACTCCTCCATCCAGCCATTCACCCTTCTACCCATCCACCCAGCCATCCATCCACCCAGCCATCCATCCACCCAGCCATCTGCCCATCCATCCATCCATCTACCCACTCAATAAGCATTCATGGAGCCCCTAGTAAGTCAGAAGCTGTACCAGATACTGGGTCTCATAACTGACATTGCCGTCAAAACAACCTACATGGTCATCACTAGAAGAGTCAATTACAGAACATCGTGCATGGAATGCTGGGTAGCTGTTAATAAGAATGAGGCAGGTCTATAGGAATTGATGTGGAAAAGTATGGTAAAGGGGAAAATAAAAAGATACCGAAGTATGTGTAGTATGCTACCATTTGTGAAAAAAAAGAAAAAAACACTCTATTTAAACACATATAGACTTGGATATGCCTAGAAAGTTTCTGTGGCAAGGAACCTTATATATTAGTTTGTTCCCTTTCAGGCTGTTTGAATTAAACTTTTTTTTTATTGAAGTATAGTTGATTTACAGTGTTTTGTTAGTTTCAGGCATACAGCACAGTGATTCAGTTTTATATATATATTCTTTTTCAGATTCTTTTCCATTACAGGTTGTTACAACATATTGAATATAGTCCCCTGTGCTATACAGTAGTGGGTCCTTGTTGTTTATTTTATATAGAGGAGTGTATATATATTAGTCCCAAACTCCTAATTTATCCCTCCCTGCTGTTTGAGGTTTTAAAAATAGTGTATTACTTGCTTAAAATTGAAAAAAATTATTAAAAAAACCTCAGTCTCTGAGTAATGATACATACAGAAAGACAAGAAAAAATTACAAAACCATCCATGATACGTATGTGATTAGGGAGGTACAGGGGACTGTGGGAGCCGAGCAGGGCACCTAGCTCAGCCTGGGGGAATCAAGGGGGGCTTCTCAGGGGAGGTGATGCCTGAGATGAGGCTCCCAGGCTGAGTGGAGGTTAAAGGGAGAAGCCTGGCAAGGGCTTTCCCGGTGGCGGGGAGCAGCATAGGGCCTGAAGGAAGGTTCAGTGGGGCAGAGCAAAGAGATTGATCCGTGTGGTAGGGAAGGAGGAGTGTCAGGGTCAGAGTGGGGAATGGATCCCAATAGTGAGTCTGGAGGCAGGGAGGCCAGTGGGGAGGCCAGGAGAGAGATGATGGAGGCCTAGACTAAGGCAGATGCAGGGGGTGGGAGGGGCAGAGAGGGAGGCTGGAGATGGGAAGTGACACCTTCTCACAGGACCGTGAGCCTCCATGGAAGTAATTTTAGCAAACCGCTTTGCAAAGGGGAGAGAACCTCCTGGCTGCACACTGGGAACTCCTCGGGGCTTTGAAAAACACTAGTGCCCGGGCCCCACCCGCATGGCATCTGATGTCATTGGGCATTGCGGAAAAATTGGGCCCCTGATGAGTAGCAGGCATAGCCAGGGCCGGGGCCGCAGGGCTTGGTGGCGAGTTGGCTAGTGAATGGACTGGGGCTCATCCTGTGTTGGGGTTCACCTTCCCGCTGGTGCTCAGGGCACGAGTGAGGCCCTGCTGTGTGTTAAGACTTCTTGGTGTTGAGTTCTGCCAGAGGGAAAGGAGGCAGGGAAGCATGGGCCTTGGAGTCACCCAGCCCAAGTCCAGGCTGGTGGCTTGGGAGTCAGCTGACCCCCACGCCAGTTTCCTTGTTTGAAATAATGCCCACCTCAGAGGGCTGTCCTGGGAACGAAGGGGATCACAGATGTCAGAGCCTGGCACAGAGCGCGGGCGCGCGATAGGCTGTTTTTAACTCGCGCATCTCCATCTCCTGGGGAAAAGCCCACGCAGGGATGCTGAGATCCGCCAGATACGAAGAGCTCACCAAAAGGTACGCGGTGCCCTCATGTGGTTCAAACTGGTCTTATCTGGGAGGAGGAGAGTCTAGGGGATGTTAAAGTGAAATGTTCTTTTCTTTTAGCTGCAAGACCATGTCTTTTGAGGTCTGGGCTATTCTGGGAACACTGCCGTGCTGTTTATGAGCAGTTTCTGATGTGTGGAATTTAGCCTCAGCTCTCAGAGGATGTCACTGGGACACAAATGTCTCATTTTCAAAACTCCCAAAGAAGAGTGGTGGGGATTACAGTGTGGCCACGTATAAGAAAGGAAAACAACACACACAGCCAGAGAGACCGTGGATTAAACAGTAGAACATGCCCCCGGGGCCAGGGTGACACGGTTCCACTCGGCGGCTCTAATTTGAGACTCTGATGAAGGCCTGCTCTGTGGCCTGCCCCGCAGGCTGCAGAGGGGTGGCCTTTGAAGTTCTGTGCCCTTCCCCAGAACCCAGAGGAGTTGATTTTTTTCTTTAAAACAAAGGAGGTATATTAAAGAGAAGAGGCAGCCAGCCTATGCCTGAGCATCAAGAAAAACAAAAGCATCTTCCTCTTGACGCTGGAGACTTGAGGCTCCTAGCTGGCATTTCGAGATCACGTTTTCATTAGAAAATTGGGCCTCCTCTAGTGGGGCTTTTAGCTGGTGCCTGACCGAGGGCCCCTCTGCATGGGACAACCTGTCCGCCTCCCCGTCAGCCCTGGGGGCAGGTTGGGGGAGGGGGGGCAGAGATTAGAGTGTCTGTTACCTGCCCGTGAGCCAGAAGTCGATGTTTTTAAACTTTAGGTCATTGCTCATGCACAGACAGTTCAGAACGAACTACTTAAGTGTCACACTCATGCAAGACAGCGAGTGGACAAAGGAAGTTTCTCCCTGATGGCTAGGCTCAGCTGCCAGCGCACAAAACCTCCCCGGAGGTTCTCCGAAGTCAGGTATTGGAACTGCGGGCTCAGACCTACAGCAAGCAGGGCCCTGGGTCTAGAAATCAACATTTTAAACTCACCCCCTAGACCTCTTTGTGTGTTTGATCCACAGTTTTAGGGGAGCGTCCATGGCAGAGTTCCTCAGATCTCAGGATTTCACAAACCAGTGAAATTACAAAAAGAATCTTCTGGACTCATTTTGAACCTCTCCTTTCACCCTCCCTCCTGTTTCATAAAACATTACCGACATTCGGCTCTGTAAAAATCTCCGTGTGTGGTGTTTACTGCCCAGTTTGCTGGGAAAGGTGCAGGCATAGTCGTGGTCCAGTGTCTGCAAAACCCAAGGGGCTGTGGGCAGCACCTTGGGGTGAGTGAGGGACCCAAGAGACAAGGCTTACCAGAGAAAAACATCGTCTTCCATTCTTTTATTTATTATATATGCAAATCTGTTTTATGTACAATACTCGGTTCTAGCAAATAATCTTACCAAGGCATTCTATCGGTAATCTTCCCCAAAATAGATTCAGGTAAAATCAGATATTTGTGCACTTCATGCCTCCCCGAATGCGAGACTTCACCATCGATTTCAGTTTGGAGGCCATATACACAATTCAAACAGACATGACCTGGGTTAAGGTGATAAAAGTGAACTGAAAGAAACCACAGGATTCAGAACAATTCGACTGTATTTTGCTTGCATTGGAGTCACAACGTGAAGAGCAAATGTGCAGATCTCATAGCTCTTTTTTTGTAGTGCGAGGGCTTCTGCGTGACTGCACAGCGGGTGGGCAAGAAGCAGGTGTGACCTGTGCGCGGCTTCGCCGACGGCTCATTTCTTCTCGGCCTCTTCTTTCTTGGGTTCTTGTTTCAGTTTGTAATCAGCCAGGGCAGCCTTGATGGCATCCTCGGCCAGCACTGGAAGTAAGGGAAGGAAAGCGAGCCTAAGTGTCCAGAATCTGCAGAGATGGTCTTAGGCAGAGAATCTTTAAGAGCTGGAGGCAGTGGTGCTGGGACAGGCTTAAGAGAGTCCCCTGCCAGGGTGCTGGGGGTGAGGAGCAAGCTCTCGGCCAGCCGACAGCTGCTTTCTGAGCAGGATTACTCCCGCGGGGTGGCTCTGAGGACAGACTTGGGGTCAGACACCCAGGATTTTAGGTGGGTTCCTTAGCCTCTTGGAATCTACACTCTCTTCTGTAAAACTGGGACAGTCATGCTTTTCCTGCTGGGATGGTGTCCTCGAGGACTTTATACACAGGAGGGACACAACGACCGTGAGTTCTCAGCTGCCCACACGGGAGTCAGGACAAATGCAGGGGATGCTGGTGACTGTGGCTGCAGTAACGTGGGTCATGCCAGTCTGTTGACGGCATGGTGTTTGCTGTCACTCTCCAGTGACCCTAAGTTTGAAAACTTTTATTTTGGAGCTGATGTTAAAAGGGAAGCCATGGGGAAAATAAAAATGGAGAGAGCTGGGATGACGGCAGGGAGCGCTGACTAGAGGTTTCAGTACCCAGGATGGCCTAGTGAAAAGGCTGGGGTTTCTCCGAAACCATGTGAAAATGCTTACAAGCCAGGGCCTTTATTCACGGGTATCTGAAATTCCAGCTCAAGTGGAAAGAACTCGGGTCTTAGCAGACTTCCTGAAGACAGCGTTAGCTGGTCCCTGCCCTGGCGCTCACATCCCCTGTGAGTCTTACCCTGGCAAGAGGCCTGCCTCTCTGCTGATTTATAATGAATTTGGTCAGTAAATGTCTACCAGTAACTTAAGGCTGTTGTTTCCCATTCCCCCTTCCCCAGAAGCTTGAGAGAAGAAGGAAAAGCTTTAGGTTTAAGACAGAGTCTGAACTGGAAAGCCAAGTGTAAGTCTTAAGGCATCTGGGCCTTCTCTTAGGACAGTGAAGAGGGGGACATTGCACAACCCGGCTTAGTCATCCATACACGCAGATGCAGACCCCGGCAGTGAGCGCATCTGGAAAGGAAGTGATACAGCGCACAGCAAACAGGGCGGCGGTGAGCGCTGCGCTTTCTCCCCGAGTGACCTCGCTCCACCACAGAGGGGCGGGAACGACACGGACTCTGGGATCAGCGACTGGGTTTGGGTGCTGGCTCTCCCGCTCAGGGGCTGTGTGACGGGCGCTTTCACCTGAGCCCTCGTTCCCTCATCCGTGCCGGGGGGAGGCAGTGACGCCTTCTGTGGACTGGAGGCCGTTTCTGAGGTTCAGAAGTGAGGTCACGACGTGCTGGAAGACCCTCCTGGAGAGGGCGGTGGGACCCTGGGCGCAACCTTCTGGAGGTTACGAGCAGACCCCACGAGCTCCAACCCTCGGAGGGTTGTCAAGGTGGACTCCGGGACCAAAAAGGACTTGCCATTACTCTGTCACAAAAGTGACGCCCCGCTGTCTGGGCCCGCTGGCCCTCTGGGGAGGGGAGACTCACTGGAGCAGTGCAGTTTCACAGGCGGCAGGCAGAGCTCCTTGGCGATGTCTGTGTTTTTGATGGTCAAGGCTTCCTCCACCTGGGAGGCAGACAGGAGAGACGAGCAGTTTTAGTGATGCTCTACGCAGTGGGATGGAAAATAAAAGGGGCCGAAGAGGCCCTTGCGGCAGGGTGGTGGGGGATGGTTTCCACATAGTAACCTCAAACAAAGGACCCCCCACTTCCAAGTCTAGGCTGCCGCTGGGATTCTCTAGGGTGAAGTGTACACCCCGGCACTGCGTGGTTGCCAGACACTGCTGCGAGTCAGGAGCAGAACCTGTAAGAAGTCTCTTAGGGATCTGCTTGAGGCCAGCAACTCGAGTCTTTTTTAAAAGGCAGTGGTTTCCTATGCTGGTTTTGTGAGTGTCAGTTTCTCTGATGTCCTTATACCCAGTGTTCAGGATAAATCCCTTCAACTTTTAATGCTACGTGGCATCATGGAAGCGGGGGGTGGGGTGGGTGGCGCACAGACAGCTCTCGGGCTGAGAGCTCTTTGGGCTCGTCCCCTGCCTACGAGAGAATCTTTCTCCTCTAGATGGACTGAAAAGGACGCCTGGGGTTTGGTCGAGAGCCCGAGGGCATAACGTGTGGCAGCCCTATGTGGAAGAGAGCCCCGCTGCCTTTAGGAAAGCCAGATTTCCCCACCTGCCCCCGATTTCCCAATCTCACTCAGTTATGGTTCAAATTCTGTTCCTGATCTAATGGGAGGATCTCAAGGTCAGAGAAAGCCCTCCCCACCCCCCTTTCTGGTCACACACACAGCACCTGCAGGGCCGGGTCCTGGGAGCACAGGTGCCCTGTCTCCTCACTTCCTTTCCCTGAGGGTAGTTCTGGACAAATCACTCCAGAGCCACCTTCAGCCAGAACCGGTTAGGTCTCTGCTTCTGTGGCTCAGAGAGGCTTGCCAGCCAGAAGGCCCTGAGCTGCAGGAAGCGGCAGCACGGGGCCTGGCGGAGGGCTCTGCTCCAGAGCTTCCCAGCTCCCCCAGCACACGCTGCCAGCACTCAGCTCCCTGAACTCGGCCCCTTGGGGCTGCAAAGACATGCACCTGCAGTTTGGCTTTTCTGAGAGGTTTTAATGACAACAGGATTTTAGAAAGGCTAGTTTGTTATTTCACAAATCCTTGTAAGCCACCTGCAGTCCTTCCTGAAACACGATGGGAGGAAATAAACTAAACAAACTGCTACCCGACAACAGCCGGAGCAGACTCCGATGTCTAAGAAACGATAACATTACCAGTGACCTTGGAGAAAGCCAAGGAGTTCTTTTCACTTCTTTTTTTCTTTGAGGGGGAGGTGAGGATCTATTTTCTATATAATAAAAACCAAAATACCTCCAAAACCTCCAAACAAAAATGATCAACAAGAACCCCCTGGCTTCAAACTGAAAAACACTTCACCGAATTATCCACAATTCCCAATGTGAAGAAGAATTTATTTAGGAAAAAAAAATCATAGTTACTTTTTTTTTTTTAATATAACTGGACCCTTCCCTTAACTGAGAGCCAGGTTTGTGGGGAATGATTCAATTTTGTCCAATTGGCAGAAACTTACCGTCTTCCCTTTTACCCATTCTGTGGCCAACGAGCTGGAGGCAATCGCAGAACCACAGCCAAACGTTTTAAACCTGGCGTCCACGATCTTGCCCTTTTCGTCCACTTGAATCTAGAAAAAAGGCAGGAGTCAGCAGTGACTCTGGTGCCGCCCTGTAGAACCTGGCACTCATGGAGGGCCCCTGGGGCACTCCCTGAGAGCTCTGGTCCTGTTCTCCACGCTTAAGGTTTTGGCATTAGTTACAGAGTTGCCTTTGTTTCAAAGAGCTGGGTGATGAAAAGTGAATAGTAGGAACAACCACACCGAATTATACAGGCCTAGCTGGTAAAGATCAGCTGAAAAAAATATGCCTCCTCCTGTTTTCTTTCCCCCCAACCCTAGCCTGAATTTTGGATGTGAACTTCTACTCCCAGCTGCTGGGTGGACCTGCATTTTTAAACACTGAAGGAGCCTGCAATAAATGCCTCTGGTGAATGCTTTTTTTTTTTCCTTCGGCACCAAATTGCATTTAGTGGTTCCCTCCTGCCTTGTTTCTGTTTCCCAAGATAGGCATGAAGCCACCTGGCGAGCTGCCCACCCACCATGATGAAGTAGATGTGGAGAGAGCTCCGGTTTACCCGAAAGTGCCAGGCACTACCTGCGCGTTGTCTCCCACTTGCGGGAGGTTTGATTTATTGCTAACTGAATGGCTGTGGTTTTCCTTTGATCGGTGAAAGTCACAACAGCTTTTACTTAGCTGAAGTTGGAATTTAAGCTGATACAGTAAGTACAAAAGTGAGGTCAGTTTACTGTGTCAGGAAGGGTTGGTGTAGTGGATCAGTAGGACCAGGATTCAGCCCCGGCTTGAATCACTTATAATGATGACGCATCCCGTCTCACAGGAATCAAGATGGGGACCAAAAGCACTGTGCTGTGCTCCATCAACTACGAAGCACTGTACAACAAAGGGATCACCATTACCACCAGGAAAGATGGAGACCAGAGCTACCTGTAATTTCATCACATCGCCACATGCTGGAGCCCCCACCAGTCCGGTTCCAACATTTTTAGATGTCTTGTCAAGGGACCCCACATTTCGAGGATTTTCATAATGATCAACAACCTGCAAGGAGACGGTTAAGAGAAATCACAATCACTCTTTTTTGAGGTATTGCTCTCCCTGACTTTGATGGCAAGCTCCGGGAAATTAGCAACCCGAACCTGGCAGGCAATCACACAGGACCAAATTTCACTCCGGGAGGAAGGCTTACATTCATGTCAGTGAGAACCACTTGTGACCCAAAGTCTTTTTGTATCTCCTCTCTAGCCACCTTCAGAGATGCAAGATAGTGGAGAAAAATCAGCAAAATCATGTCTTAATTCCATAGGGTTTTGAGCCACAAATAATTACTTGACCTTTAACCATCCATCACCAGATTTGGGCTCAAACATCATCTTTGTAATTTCCAAATAAAATACATTCTCAAAGGATAATGATTACTACTCAGAAATCTAAAAATAAGTACAGTCCAGAAATGGAAGGATTTCCCAGAAGCCTCAAGGAGATTCTTACAGGAAGAACAATGCTGTGGCGTCTGTCCATTTGTGTGCGATTAATAAATGACAACGGTCCCATTACTGTGTTTCAGGGCCCTGAAATCTCGCTGGTGCAGCAGAGCACCCTGGTGGCTGAAAGGCTGCTTAGCGACAAGTTAATTCCGCCTGTACTGTCAACAACATACACCCCTAGATGGGGGAGGAGTGAAGTCCTTGGGCAAACGCACTGAAGCCAGAACAGATAAGCATTTATTCAAACTGGCACAGTGAGAGCTTTAAAAGCCTTGAGGTTTGTTTACCAGTCAGCCCTTAAGTTTCCCAAACTTCCAGTCCCCTACCCCACCACCTATCAGACCACGGAATTTGACTTTTAAGCCCAGGACCTACAAAGTAATGTCCAATGTGGATTTTCTTTTTCTTTCTTTCTTTTTTAAATGGAAGTATTGAGGATTGAATCCAGGACCACTGAGCATACCTATGCCCCCAGTATGGACTTTCTGCCCTGTGTTGACTGACTGCATTCTTTAGTTAACCGTTTCCCGAGTGAGAGAATCTCGTTTAGGGACTTCACGCCCCAGGAAGGTCAGGGCTGCAAACTAGGCACCTATTTGTACTCATAGCTGCCCCTCCCCCCGAGAAGAAACAAAAATAAAAACGTTATGGCCGTTGGTTACATGTCTGGCTCCACTTGAAGGCTCTGAGCTCCTACGACAATGACAGCAGCAGCACCCTAAGTGGCCTCCGTGTGTCAGGCATCGGGCCGAGGACCCCACAGGCATGGTCTCAGGGAGGGGGACTGCTAAGACCCCACTGGACAAGTGGGGAAATAGGTTCAGCGCGGGGCAGTGACTTGCCCAAGGTCACTTGGCCAGGACAGTGGCCTTGGCTGAAGCCGGAGCCCGCGCTGCTGTGTGTGTCTGTCCTTGGAGTCTGGCTGGCAGGTCAGAGCAGGACCCTCCTTCCTGGGCAGTTGGGAAGTTTAAAGGCTGGATGCACGAGATCGCGGCCAGCGGCGGGGCCCACGGGCAATGGCCGCTAGAGGGGCTTGAACTGTCATTCTTAGTGCCCCTGAACAGCGAGAAGAAAGTCAGTCGAGGAGGACTTGTGCGAGGGGCGGCCCCACCTGGGCAGCGCAGAGCCCGGCGGCCACTCCTCCTTGGGCCCGGCCTCCGCTAGGACGCCAAGTCCTCTGAGCGGTCCTCGCACTCCTG